AGTTGTTGCACTTTTACTTGGGCTGCAGCTAGGCTACACAAAGTTTTGCTGTTTTTTGTGTGAATGGGACAGTCGGGCAAAGGCACTTCATTACACCAGACAAAACTGGCCTGTTCGTCAATTCCTAGAGCCAGGTCAAAAAAATGTACAGCATATGCCATTATTAGATTATTATTACCACCACTGCATATCAAGTTGGGCCTAATGAAAAACTTTGTCAAGGCATTAGATAGAGATGGGTCAGCTTTTCAATACCTGCGTCAGAAATGTCCAAGACTAAGTGAGGCAAAGGTTAAAGAAGGTATTTTTGTTGGGCCACAGATTCGAAATATTTTGAGAGATACACAGTTTGAAAACACTTTAACAGGTATTGAAAAAACTGCTTGGAATGATTTCCGTCTGGTGGTCACCAATTTCTTGGGAAATAGAAAAGCTGACAACTATCATCGTATCAAAAGATGGGCTGTAATATGTCTCTTAAGATACATTTCCTACACTCACACCTGGAGACTTTTTTCCTGACAATTGCGGAGCCGTAAGTGATGAGCACGGCGAACGTTTTCATCAGGATATTTCAACAATGGAAAAAGGTACCAGGGAAAGTGGAATCCTTCCATGCTTGCAGACTACTGTTGGACTCTTGGTAGAGATGCTCCAGAAACGATCCATAAAAGTACAGCAAAAAGACAGCGCATATATAGTGATTCTTATAAGTATATGAATCTTGTTACTTTTTTTCATATATCCTTAAAAATAAAAAGTTTTTTTCTTAACAACAACTATTTTTTTTATTTCATTGTCATTTTTGGATTCAGCGCCCCAAAATTAACAAAGAAGTGCACTTTTCCCACAAGATACAATTAAAAAACTAAAATTTGTTGTCCAGTGTTATTTTATATTACGTAGCCTCAGTAATGCTGCACGTTTGAGATGGTGAATTGCATTTATTGTAACACCACTGTGTCTCGTTCAAAACCTGCTGTTTTTTGCGAGGCATGTAAGAAAAATGCTCATGCCAGCTGTATTACCAATTCCATTCCAATGTCCCTGGTCTATCATGGAAATGTGATGAATGTACAGTATACTCAGATAAGAGATAGACCGGATGTAAACAAAAGGTTCGGGTGATTTTCACGCTAACGCCGCCGTCTCGACGTAAAACAGGAGCCCTCATTGGTCAATTCGCAATTAAATGCCTATGCCGAGCGGCAGAGCAGTCGTATCAAGGCAGAGTCACATTCAGGTTCAGACGTGTTACGTATGTCGTGTGCATCATTGCAATTTGATATTTCTTTGGAAGTTTTCGTTTGTTATCTTATTAAGTTGTTGAGTTTGTCGTTGTTATTGTTATACCTTGTTATTGATCGTTATTGTTATCAACTGCTTGCGCAAAATGCCCAGTAGTACAGATACTGCCGATGAAGTTGTAAACTCCTGTAGTCCACCTAGGAAACGCTCTAAAAAAAGACACCTGAGTGCAGAAATGAAAGAGGTCATTTTGAATATATATAAGATCGAGCGCGAGGAGAACGAGGCATCAACCATCAAAGAAATTGTTGTGAAGGTTTCTCACAAAGTTGGGGTGTGTCGCGCATCAGTGTTTAATGTGTTAAGACAATACAAAAAAAACACACCTTTTCTGAGCCAATGACCAGTAAACATCGCAAAAGTATTGTTAAATCATTGGATGAAGCTGATAAGCATGCGATTAGGAGGAAAGTGCATGAATTCTTCTTTAGGAATGAAATACCTACTATAGATAAAGTACTGCAGGAGGTAAATGGAGATACAACGTTGCCAAATTTCAAACGATCAACTTTCCATGCGTTACTGAAGCATTTAAATTTCAAATGGAAAAAACGGGGTCGTAATAGTTTACTACTGGATAGAGAAGAAATTGTGCTATGGAGGAGGGATTATTTAACAAAAATTGGGAAATATAGAAATCAAAACAGGAACATTTATTACCTTGATGAAACGTGGGTAAACGCAGGACACACTACAAGTAGTAACGTATGGGTTGATGATTCTGTAACTTCATCCAGGAGGGCCTTTCTAGATGGACTGTCCACCGGATTAAAAAATCCAGCAGGTAAATACGAGTAATAGACAACAATCGGATGTTTTTAAACCTTGGGAACAAGGTTCTAAACATTAATTCCAGGGGGCAGATAAAACATATTACAAGTAACAAAACTTTTATAACTTTCGATAAAATGCGTGGATGTTTTATTGTCATTTTCATTTGTTAGAACTTTTTTAAGCCATGTTTTTATGTGTTTTCGATATTTCAATAATTTTTTAATATAATCTTAAAATATGTCGAATATTATAAACTTAAAAAAAGTTACTAAGTTTTATATTGTGTACCGTTCCTAATATTTCTAATCATTTTAATTCATACTTTAAGCTTTATAAAGTTATAATTTGTTAATATTAATATTTGCGCGTATTTCAGGTTCCTGATCATTCATTTTTTAAAGGTTTATAACTTTAAATTAAATTGTGAAGCGCTGAGTAATCATACGACGTTCAATATTCTTTCTCTCAATATGACTAAATAATCCCAATTATAGCAATCTGATACTCATGTCTCAATGTTTTTTCGCTGAATGTGATGAAAACATTTGAAAAAGGTTCGCTCATTGAAATAAATATACACCAGTTAGTACTTCGATTTCCAGGTAAAGGGAAAAGGCTCATTATCTGCCATATTGGCAGTGAGGATGGATTTGTTGTTGACGGTCTGTGGTGCTTTGAGTCTAAGAAAACTGGAGATTACCACGAGGAAATGAATGGCGAATCGTTTGAACAGTGGTTTTCAAAAATTTTACCGAACTTAGAGGAAAACGCAGTAATTGTGTTGGATAATGCGCCTTATCATTCTCGAAGAATGGAGAAGGTCCCAACAACGGCTTCAAGGAAAGTTGATGTTCAAAATTGGCTCCGCTCGAAAAATATCAACTTTGAAGAAGCAATGCTGAAAGTACAATTATTAAGAATTGTCAAGGATCACAAGGCGGAATATCAAAAATACGCCATTGACGAAATGGCAGCAAGTCAAAATAAAACTGTGCTCCGTTTACCTCCATACCATTGCGAGCTCAATCCCATTGAGCTCATATGGGCAGAGGTTAAAAATTATATAGCTAAGCACAATACAACTTTTAAATTTTGTGACCTCAAAGGACTTTTCAAAGAAGCACTAGAATTAATAACAGCGCAAAAATGGGAAAACTGTATTAAGCACGTGAAAGACAAAGTTGAAAAGAGAATGTGGGAACTGGACAATATTTTAGAGGAACAAGTCGAGCCATTCATTATTGACGTTGGTGCTTCAGGCAGTAGCGATGATGAAAGCTCATCAAGCTCATCCTTCCAATAAAAGATGTCGTTCATCAAATTCGGTAAGTTATAAGTAATTATAAAGCTACTGTATTTTTTAATTAATTATTGACATTTTTGAACCCAAGAATCTAATTTCTGACAATGTTCAACCATGCACATTTTTTTACGTTTTGAACGTTTTAATTTGGTTACATATTTACCTAGAAATCAAAAAATTTACTAATCAATATTCTAAAAGCAATTTTAAGAGATATACGATTATTTTTAATTTAGGCTAATTTAAACGCCATTTTGAGATTATATTCGACTGTATTTCACCAAACATCAGGCGGCATCCGAAGCTGGAAATCGAAGCGAAAATTTTGAAACCCTTATGTATATTTACATCATTATATATTTCTTACCCCACCCCCACATGATCCTATATCCATCACCAATCGTATACACATCGAATTGTGCTAATTTACTACAAAGTTACGCAAAGCAGCATCTACTATCTAAAATATGTACTGCGTGACTCTTAATACGTCCCTGCCGAATGTTACAGCGTTCGATGATCACGTGGTCTTGTTTATGTCCGGTCTATCTCTTATCTGAATATACTGTAGAGACAACTGCCTGTTTATTAACGAAAAGAGCGTCAATACAGTGCTGTCGCAAAGAATTGATGCTGCACTCGGGCAGATCAAAAATGAAATTCTTGCCATAAAGGATGAGCTGCTGAACCATGCTGTCAAGGAGACTAACCCTCCTCGTTATTCTGATGTACTGCGCAACAGAACTCAACCAGCCATTGTTATTCGTCCAAAAAGTACTAATCAGTCAGTAACACAAACCAAGACGGATATTCTCAAATCAGTTGATCCTGTTGAAGCCAACATTCATCTGGGTAAAGTTCGTGATATCAAGGAAAGTGGGCTAGTGCTTGGTTGTAAGAGCAAGGCGGATAACTTAAAACTGCTTTCCATTGCAAAAGAGAACTTAGGTGATTCATACGACATTAAAGAAGTTGCTGGCATTAATCCTAGGGTAAGAATAGTTGGATTGACTGGCGAATGAGGCGATGAGCAGATACGTAGCTACCTTCTGAAGGGTAATCCGGACGTGTTTTGTGGTGATGTTGAGTGTGAAGTTTTGAAAACATATGCTGTTAAAAAAATAATAAAATCTTCCAATCTGTCTTACAAATAGATAGTTCCCTATGTGGCAGGGTACTTATTAGTTGGTTATGACTGCTGAAAAGGTTTTTGATGCCGTGGAGGTATTTTGTTGCTTTAAATGCAATGAGTTCCATGACGGATCAGCTTCTTGTCAGTATGAGGTTTCTTGTCCAATCTGCAGTGGAAAACATGAGATTAAACAATGTACATCAACAACTAAGCAGTGTTCTAATCGTGTCAAACTAAATTCTAAGTCGAATCTGAATGTTCCAATAAAGCATGCAGCTTGGGACAAAAATTAGTGCACTGCCTTCACGAATGCTACAGAAAAATTGAGAACAGACTTACTCGTCAAATAGCAACTAGCTACTGCTTCAAGCTTAGACAGTCATGATCATGATGCTGGTAGAGATAAAAGCTTTATTATTTATTATCAAAACACTCGTGGTTTGCGTTGTAAAACTAATGAAATATTCAACTCTATTTCTCAATAAGACTATTACTCTTTGATAACACTGACAGAAACGTGGCTTGATACTGATATCAATGATTGCGAGGTTTTTCCCGATAATTATTCAGTTTACAGATCTGATCGATTTCAGCAGTGAATTTGAGGAAATGTGGAGGAGTAGCTGTTGCTGTTAGAAGTGAATATAAGTCATCTGCCATCGATGTATATATATATATATATATATATATATAGGTGAAAAATTAAAGCTTCCGCCTTTTGTTGGGTACTTCGACAAAATTTAAACAAAGAGGACTCTTTATACTTTTTTTAATTCTCTCTAGCTTTCAATGGACTTTGCCATCATCATCAGGAGCTGCAATTACAATGATAACAGTAGCAACAAAAGTGTAAAATGAATTTAAATTGAATCAACTTACAGTAGTATGTGAGGATGTTGGTAATTGTTGTTTTCGTATAGGATGAGGGAAACGTCCAGTAACATGGTGAGAGCTGGATACATGGTACAATGGTTAAAATTATATAAAATATGACAAGACAAGTTAAAGACAGATTAAAATTTATTTAGAAAACATTAGAGCATTACGTCGTCAAGCCACTTGATGATTGCACAAAATGGTGGTCATGGAATAATGAGTGAGATGAACCTTTGACAGAAGGCCGAAGGTTGTCAATGTCTGTGTTGAAAGATGGATCGAATTGTTGGCGTGTGCCAATACGTTGCCAAATCACTTCAGATGATGTGATTTTCGGAATGTTATGTAAGACATTGTTAAATTAAATAATTTTTAATCTGTCTTTAACTTGTCTTGTCATATTTTATATAATTTTAACCATTGTACCATGTATCCAGCTCTCACCATGTTACTGGACGTTTCGCTCATCCTATACGAAAACAACAATTAGCAACATCCTCACATACTACTATAAGTTGATTCAATTTAAATTCATTTTACACTTTTGTTGCTACTGTTATCATTATAATTGCAGCTCCTGATGATGATGGCAAAGTCCATTGAAAGCTAGAGAGAATTAAAAAAAGTATAAAGAGTCCTCTTTGCTTAAATTTTGCCGAAGTACCCAACAAAAGGCGGAAGCTTTAATTTTTCACCTAACTGGTCTAGACGACAATGACCACGTCTCAAGTTATATATATATATATATATATATATATATGTACCCACCTTTCAACCAGGTCAGTCCACAGATCGATATTTTAGTAATTAAAGTCAGTGTCCATTACTTCAAACTATATGTGATTAATCTCACACATCTCCTCAGGTAACCGTTATCGACTACGAAATCTTGTTGGAAGCGATACATAGTCTAGAGTTTATACATACTGGCAGCATTTTCATTGTTGGGGACTTTAATATAACATCATATGCTGATTATCTTGAAAATAGTATCTCAAATAGTTACATAAACACTTTAAACGTTTTAGCAAGATTTTTCAATGTCATTCAGTATAATTACGTACACAATGAAAATGGAAATTTGCTAGATTTAATTTCGAGTAATGCCATTTGCTATGTTGAACATGCTGATGATGCGTTAGAGTGTGAGGATCCCCATCATCCTGCATCGATTGTCACTGTGAGTCATTTTCCTTCCACCAAACGTAATAACGTGTTGCATAGCGACTTCAAAGGTTCATATAATTTTAGGAGAATATTAATTCTGCAAAAGATGTTGATTAGATTAGTATTTGGTCTCAACCCACTGGACAGCTGTAGACCAGTATTTAAAGATAATAAAATTTTAACGTTACAGTCATTACTGATCTACGAGTCATGCTTATTTGTTAAAGAATACACAGATCTATTCCCCCAGCGCAGTGAAATACACGCCTATAATACTAGATATAATACCCGTATTCATATTCAAAATTTTAACCTTAGTGCTTATAAAAAGAGTCCGATGTATTTATGTAGTGCCATGTATAATAAATTGCCTTTAGATATTAAGCATATTACCAGCTTATCTTTGTTAAAAAGTAAACTTCGGAACCTCTTACTAAATAAAGCATTTCATAATACAAATGAATTTTTGTGCGAGTACACCTTATTTTTATATGTGTTTCTGTATCCCAATTCCTTCATGTCATATATTAATTATCGACATATTTTCTTTTTAATTTTTTTGTATCCTATTTACAGGCTCATACAAATAAAACATTATTCTATTCTATAACCGTGTCGAACTTCGTACATCAGAACCGGCCGATACGACCGCTCCTTTGACCCTATGGTGTCGAGATTATGGAACAATTGACAAAAGGAGGCTAACACTGGTTCTACTAATCTTAGGCAGCTTAAAAATCGAATTAATAAGACACGCACATAAATGATTATTCTTGGGTTTATTTCTGTAATATTATAGCATTGTTTGGGAATATTTCGCGAGAGTTCGTTGAATCAACAGTGAAGACATCCAATATGGTACCATATCATATCGATCTTTTGAAAACACGTCTGTTTATGTAAGAATCGAAACCAGCAATATAGTAACCCAAGTGATTGTTGCAGTATAGACCACCTGTCTCTATAAATCTAAATCATTCAACAAATAAAACAACAATATTGTACCTCGTTCACTATTATGTAAGTCTTGGTAAATTGTAGGATAGCAGAACGACTATTAGATCAAGCCAGCGCAGAAGATTTTTAGATATTTGCCAACTATAAGTGTTACATAAATTAAATTTTCATCGAAAGACACAGTTAAGTGATTCTCATTTTGGTCGCATTTCCTAATAGTAGCGTCTCTGGCCGTTATGCTCTATTACTCAGCCAAAAAAGTGTTATTTGAATTGCATTTCGTCCCAGATATCTGTTTGTTTAGATATCCAGCGCACCATGGCTTTGGTTTGCCAGTGCAGCATTTTTCTGTACACAAAAAGGAGAAAATCAAACTTCGGAAACGAAATCTTGATCACTGATCGATTAACTGTCTCTGGAATGAGAGCGCTTTATTTTAATGCTTTTGCTATTATGAAACGTTTGAATTCAGTAATGCATTTATATTTTCGATATCCTTATACAGGGGAAAAAATTGAAATTAATTAATATTGCATATCTTTCAATGCAAAAATAATGTTTAGCTTTAACAGTGGCGTGCGTACGGGTATTGACTCCGATATTTAAAAAAAATGGTACGTACATAAAATTACTGACTTGTTCTTTGGTCTATTACCTGTAGCAGATTCAACGGCAGAAGAACTTTACAACACTATTATAAATATTTTTTTCAAATGTAATATTAATTATAAAGAAAATCTAATAGGCTTTACATCAGATGGTGCAAGAGCTATGATGGGAATTCATAATTCAATATCCACCAAATTAATAGCCGATATTCCTAATTTATTCATTATGAAATGTGTCTGTCATTCATTTAGTTTATGTGTAAATTATGTTTGTGCTAATTTACCAGATGATATTGAACAAATGGCTAGAGATGTTCATTCGTATCTACAATACAGTTTTAAAAGACAAACTGAATTTGGATAATTTTAGAAGTTTGTAGCAGTAAAACCTCATACAATTGTACAACCCTCTCAAACAAGGTGGTTGTCTGTATTGCCTGTTGTAAAAAGAATATTTGAGCAATATGATGTTTTAAAATTATATTTTACAGATCAGAGCTACAATAAAAATGGCATTCAAACACAAAATATCTTAAATTTTCTTCAAAATCCATCTACCATATTGTATTTACGTTTTTTAAACTTTGTGCTGCCGTTTTTTATGGAATTAAATTTAGAAATGCAATCCGAAAATATTAAGATACACATTTTATATAAACGAGTTGAACATGTGTTAAGAACAATTTTGGATTGGATAATTTTGTGGAAATAGAAAACATTTATTTAGGTGTCTACGTAACAGGTGCAATAGTGAACATAAACTAAATGAAGCAGAATTATTTGACTTCAGAAAGATTTTTTAATAGAAAGTTGTTTTGAAATGTATAAAAGATTTGATAATAAAAGCAAAACTGTCGCTACCCTAAAACATATGTCACTTGTCACCAGATGAAGTAATTGCAAAAAACAAGCATCATTAGGGCCTTCAGTTTTCCATCTTCCCAAGTTGACAACTGATAGCGTAAACGAAATAGACAAAGAATGGTATTGCCTAAGAAATCTTGATTTAAGTAAACATTAAAATTTAAGCGTTCAAGAATTTTGGGAAAAAATTTCAACATTAAAATCTGGTGATGATTCTCTTATGTTTCCAACCATAACTAATTTTGTGTTTAATCTGTTCAGTTTGCCACATTCAAGTGCAAATGTCGAAAGGACATTTTCCCAAATAAACCTAAACAAAACTAAAATAATAAATTATTGACTGAAAGTTGTGGAATTTTATATACCAAAGTTTTATTGAGAAATGACAGTTGCTACATCTTTAGCATCCCTAATGATTTGTTTAGAAGAATAGATTCGTCAATGTACAATAAAACTCAAAATTAAATTATAATACCTACTTTCGATTATTTTGCTTTATCGTTTTCTTAAAAACAAAATATTTTATGTTATGCTATGTTCGTTGTTCGCTATTTATACAGAATATATTTTTTTATATTTTTTATAATATGCATACTTAAGTTATCATGTATTTTCGTTTATATTACATATACAAGTGACATATAAATCCGAACACACAGTTTAAATGGTTTTATTTTAATAAAATTTTGTATAAGTACTTAATGAAGCATAATAAGTAAATGATAAAAATTCCAAAATGATTGCACTGCTTTAAAGCCCTTTGACCTTTAATAATGTGTGGATGCACCCTGATGTGCTACGCATTCTCCAACGCGCCTAGGCATGCTTCTGATCAGGTGGTCAATGTCCTCCTGTGGTATCTCATTCCAGGCAACCACCAACTCCTCTCGAAGTGCTTCTAGAGTCTGAGGAGGACGTTGCAAATTGAGCAATCTCCTACCTTTCATGTCCCACACGTGCTCAATTGGGGATAAGTCGGGAGATCTTGGTGGCCATGGTAACAATGTGACATCAGTATGTTGAAAGAAGTCTATTGTGACTCTTGCAAGATGTGGTCGGGCATTATCTTGTTGGAAAGTTGGATCTGCCAGGGTGTCAAGATAGGGTAAAAGTTGGGGTTCTAGAACTTCGTGGATATAACGCTGCGCGTTCATGTTACCTCTGATGAAGATTAAAGGTGACCTGGAACCATAAGCTATAGCACCCCAAACCATAACTCCATCAGTGTGATGAACATGTCTTCCAACAAAAAACTGTGGATTCCTCCTTTCATCACGTCGCCTTCTAACCCTGGCGCGACCATCGTGCATGCCTAAACAAAATCGAGACTCGTCACTAAAGACAATACTGTTCCATTGCTGATCCCAGAGTGACTGTTGTCTGCACCACTCAAGGCGATTACGTCGGTGTTCTCGAGTTAAAGGGAGGACCCAGTGTGGCCGGTATGAAAACAAGCCAAAACTTCTCATTCGTCGGTAAACACTTCGCATGCCACTAGGTCTTCCGTGTTCTGCAAACCATTCATTTGCAATGGACCTGGTAGTGGAGAAACGGTCCCTTAAGGCCAATAATCTTAGGCGGCCATCTTCACGGTCTGTTGTTCTACGGCGGCGTCCAGTGCCCCTTGCTCTTTGCGTACGGCCTTCTCGAAGCCATGCCTGACAACACCTAACCACAGTGTCTACACTTCTTTGCACTCGAACTACAATTGCCCGAAAAGAAAGTCCAGCTTCCCGAAGTCCCACTATACGGCTCCTATAAAACTCACTAGGTTGACGAAATCGTACAGGTCTCCGTACTCTAGGCATCGTAACCGATCGTAAAGGATGTCAAGAACCAAAATCCGCCAACGTTGATTCTTTACTGCGGCTGAAATATTCATTTTTAGAGCGTTAGTGAATTAAAACTGATAAGGCTGAACATGTTTTCACTTGTTATTTACAGTAAGATAAATACATTCACCAACTTTTATTAAAATAAAACCATTTAAACTGGGTGTTCGGATTTATATGTCACTTAGTATATTTTAAGAAATACCTGTTACGTTAATTTTAATTAAACTGATTATACGTAAAACACTTGTTTGCATTTGTTCATCAATACCCCTATCCCAAATTACAAACAAGATTAAGATGAATATTAAATATATAAAAGGAATTACAAAATAAACATGGTTTTTTAAGTTGTTATGGAAATCTAGGGAAGTCTTGGCAAAATATCTATACTCTAGGCGCTGAAGAAAGAAACTAAACCCAAACAAATACACGCATATTGC